CCAGACTAGAGAGTCTTGAGTGGAAATGTTGAGAACAAAGATTTAATATTTCCTGGGTATAGACAGGATTTCAGACATATCTCTAAAAGGATCTCAGAAATAAAGTAATCCTGTAAAAGAAATAGGTGCTCCTCCACTTTTAATGCTCCTTCTAACCTTCTTGTGGATGTACACAGCCACTCAGAGCATAGCCCCTCTTGAGTGGACAGAGGTAAGATCCCAAGATTAAAGAAACAGATCTTTACAAGTACTCAGAGCCTACTAAGTAAGCCTGACGTTCTTAAACTGTTTACTTTATGTGCATTGGTGTTTTGCTTGCGTGTATGTCCGTGTGAAGATGTCAGATCCTCTCAAACTGGAGTTTACAGACAGGTTTTAACTGCTATCAGAGTGCTGGGAATGGAAGCAGGGTCCTCTGGAAGAGCAACTAGTGCCCTTAACCACTAAGCCATCTCTCCAGCCCCAAGCCTAAAGTTCTTGAGAAAAGTAAATCTGCTTCCCTACCATAGCTGTTACAGGAGCTATCCAGGGTGCTGGATGCTGTCATTTTTTGAAACTTTCTGAAACCCAAGTGAATCTCTCTCTACGTTGTCCTCCTCGGATTCAAGGTCCCCACTGTGTTAACCTTAACCAGACATCATTTTGAAACCATTTCTCCCTTATCACAGATACCTTATAAGCTAACACATGCCTTCATCTTGTGTGTCTGATTCAATACTGAGCAACTTCTACACACAGCTGATAGATTGTGAAGTGATTGCATAGTTCAATGGTGTATAGATAGGCTAGGTCTCCACTGAGCCCTATTGCCTTCTTGAATTACAATGAGAGGGAATCAGAGACATTATAGAATCCTTTCTCCCTGAAATAAAACTTAAGAGAATACCTGGTAGCTATAGCTGTAATCTCAGTCCACAGTCACTGTGTAAAGACAGAATTGTAAGCCTACAAGGATTAATAAATTAAGATAATGTTCAGTTTCATCCCTCTAGCTTAAATTGGATCTTTTATTTTGCTTTAAAAGATACATTCAACTGAAGACATTACTCAGTTCCTTAAGTAATCAAGTTTGTGCACTAAGTAAGGGATGAAAATGTGTATGCTTTCAAGTCAAACACTTTGCCTCTTCAACTAAAACACTTAGAGAGAATAATATGATGTATACTCCTTTCTAGCTCTCTTCTTAAGTGACAAGGAAAATAGGCAGAGTCTCAACATCTTCAGGACTTTCCACCCATGAGTCAGACCCTTCACTGTCTTTAAATGTGTTTGGGGGTCACTGTGATTTATAAACAGCTACAAGAGTTCAGGAAAACTTTTCCTTCCCACTTATCAAGACTCAGATAAGAAAACAGGACTAAAAACCTTTTTGCACTTGCCTGGTATATTCTTTTGTGGCATTGGAAACAGATAAAATATATGGAAACACTATCAAGATGGAGAAGAAATTAAGCATTGCTCTTTGACACAGTCTCAGATTAAGCACACAGCTAGGGAACATCATTATTTAAAATGATGGTAAGTTAACATTGTCAACTGTTGTTTGGGAAACCTCTGTAGTCTCTCTGGGTGTCAATCATATGTTCCCCCAAATGACTAAACACTCCCTCCACTTAACTCTCCTGAGTTGTTCTCCAGACTTAATTTGAATCAGTAAGAATTCTCAGAGAGTCTTACTCACTGTTCCAGGGACTGAGTGAAATTTAGAATCCTGCGAGTCTTCATCCACCCCTACCATCCTATTTGTCACAATACAATTTAATTGCTTGTTTGTTTATTCATTTTTAACTCTATTTTATAAACTCGGTGCAAATAAGGACCAGTTCTTTCCCTGTCTTCACATCTCCAGGTCTATGTACAGCGCTTTGCCTAGAACGAGTGTCCAATAAATACATGTCCTTAACAAACACAGAGATCTTAACCATTATTAGGTCTCACAATATCTCTAAACCTCATCTTTTTTTCTAGGCTTCTTTCAGAATTCTGTTCTCAATAGTTACCCTGCCTCAAAAACCTTTTACAACACCATGACAACATGGTGACAACACCATGATGAATACGAAGTTTCTAAAACCAGGAAAAAAATTGCTCTTTCATATGGTACAATTGTACTGGAATTGCATTTAGTCTAATATAAAATGGAGACCATATATATATATATATATATATATATATACAGTGACTCTCAAAAAAGAAGTGAAATTTTAAAAATATATTTGAACTTGCGATAATGCTATCCTATTAAGATGCTTATTATGTAAGTTTATAGTTTCTTCACTGTTCTGACAATACATTTTTCTTTCTCTTTTATTATTTTCTGCTCTGATGGCCTTGAGACTTAAAGTCAATACTGGGTTTTGAGGGACTTTATTTAGCATACTCGCAAAAGCATGCAAATATAAAGGGACCATGGTGATACAATGTTACTACTGTTTCTTTCCATCACAACAACTTCAAGTTCACAACAACAGTTTCTTCAGCTTCTGTCACTTGCTTTCTTCACCTTTACCCAGGTATCACTCTACTCCCCCATTGCACCATGAAAACAAGTTGTCTCTACTTTTCCAAATGAACGTCAAACTTTTTGAGATTGTTAAATGTGTCTCTCATATTTTTTAACTTCCCTTCAGAACATCCAGACAAATACAGACTAAGTGTCTGCAAAATACGAATAATCAAAAGTTTAGGTTAAATATCACCTATCTTTAAAAACCTTCTTTCATAAACAATGACACTTAGATTATAGATATGCAAATAATATTTAAATCATGGATCACAATAATATAACCCACAGGCCAGATCTGATCAGTTACCTACAATTATAGTTATTTAGGTATGTGGCCACGCCCAGTTATTTGCATATTCCAAGCCATGGGTACTCCCACTTATTTTCATATTTTCATATTGTTCCACGTAGCTACTCCTCATTATCCTCACTTTTCTGCCTATAATACTGGATCCAAATGACTGCAGCAAAGACAATATGGCCATGCAATGGCTAAAACGATTGCGACATTGACCCTTTAAATAAGAATCTTTCTGACCAGTGCTCTAAATAATGTTTGTAGATGAAAAAAACCCAGTCCTACTAAAGGACTTATCCAGTTGCATAGCTGAGCATATCCACTAGTCATATCTTTTGTGTGAGTGTGTGTATGTGTGTTTACATGGTGGGGGGACATGTATGTGGAGGTCTAAAGCTGACAGCAAATGTCTTCATCAACCGATTTTCACTTTATTCATTTACTGAGGTGGGAGTCTTCTGTCGAAACTAGAGTATGCCAAGTCTAATTGGTATATCCATCCAGCTTGGGCTGGGTATCAACTATCCCTGTGGCTGGGATTATAGGAGGAGAAGGCACCAGCCTGGCTTTTTACATGAGTGCTAAGAATCCAAACTCTAACCTTCACACTTGTGTGTCAAGTGCTTTATTCACTGAGCAATTTCCCTAGAGTCCAAATTCCTGTTTTTAAAAGGCCACATTTTCTTCATTGAGTTGTGTGTGTGGGGGGGGGTGGTGTAAGAACATGATTGGTGAAAATAATAATACTTTAGATTGTATAAAATCAAATAAAAAGTAAATCCACAAGTTAAGATGTTTGCCAAAAGTCCGATAAAGTTTATACTAACTGAAAGCCAGATTTAAATTTTACTTTTCTGAATTAAAATATCAGCTAATAAAATTAATAGCTCATGTATGATACACTCACACACAGAGATATATACAAAGAGTTGCTATAGAGACTATCATTAATTTCTTTAGGAACACAGACAAAAGAGTCCCAGTCTCGCAGCAGAATTCTGAAAGATGTTGAAAGCAATAAGTGTCAAAGAAAATGCTTTTAAAATGGACCACATTGACCTCACAGGCTACTCTATTAAGATATGAACAGCTTTTTAAAATGTTCTTCCAGCTGTGGAGGAAAGATAGTGTGCACCATCCCCTGGTCATTAGCCCATATCAGAGCAGTGAAGAGCTGCTGCAGAAAGTTCCTGAGAATCTCTTCTTGGGTCAGTGTCTATTAATGTGGCAGGTTCTGGTTTTCAACAAGTTCCTTAAGTCGGCATTTCTGTAGAAGGCACTGCTGCAGAAGTATCCTTCATATCACTACACTAAGCTTCACTTAAGTTCTAAAGGTAAAGAAGAAAGAAAACTACCCCACTGCTAGGAAAAAAATATGAATTTAAGAAGTCAAAAGTACCATCAGGTCTCTGTCCCCGTCAAGAGGGCTTTAGAACATACACCTTAGAGAGTAAAACTAACTGACATTTTCCAGTGAAATTCTGTATAATGTGACAGTACTGGCATTTCTAAAGGAGCAGCAGTATGTATCTGGTGGCTTGTCAGAAACACTGCACTTATAAACTATATACAAAAAGGGACCGAGGGAGGCAGGAGAATGAGATGGTACAGTGGGTTCTTTATAACTGCACAGTACCAATGGTGTGTCCCTCATAAGGTACCAGACATTGAGTCTGCTCATGTTAGCAAAAAGGTCATGTCATCCATTGAGTCAAGAAAGAGATGTAAGGCAGGAAAAGAACATTTGAATCAGAGTCGGTCTGGAGTAAAAATCAGAACAGAATATTTACCTGGACAAGGCCAAGATAGAGAGATGATTATGTGCAGACAGTAACAGGCCACATCACATAAGTTTAGTTGCCGAAAGAATAATACTGTACGCCTGCCATCCCTCCATCAAGCCAGAGACATTTCTCTGTACACTAGAGACCCAGCTACCAATTCTTCTAGTGGAGTTGCTCAAAGCTAACTGTATCTTGCCAGAAGGGAGCAGAAATTCTTAGCTACAGCTTCCCTGGCATGACCACTTCTCCTGGGAGTCTGAGTCTTTTCTGAGTTTCCACCAAGGAGAACAGAGGGACTTACTAGATAGCTGTGTTTTGTGCAAATAGCTCTATACAAAGACCTTGTCTCCTTTCTGTTCTCTTCTGCTTTTAGGGTCATAAATAGAGCAGTTTTTAGACAACACGCTATTACCTTGAATGCTTCTCTTAAAGAAAGCCTTGCAGCCTTCACAGGACCAGACCCCGTAATGGTAGCCAGAGGCATAGTCATTGCACACAGCACAGTAGCGAGTCTCCTTGGCAGACTCCATGATCATGTTTCCCTTCTCACTGCTGGACAGTCTCTCACGGCCATTCTGGCGTCGATTGTCAGAATTGGACCTGGGGGTGGGATGGGAGAAAAACAGCGAATCCATTAGCATTTGAGAAGCAAGCCTTCCTTCCCCTTTCAAGAGTGTGAAACCCGGGGGGATGCAGCAGATCCACTTTATTCTGACATTTTGAAATAATGATTCATAATATACACCGATCTTCCATTGTCTCTTTCTGACACAAGCAGCAAAAGGTGTTTGCCCATTATATTAACCTAGAAGGAAAATTGATTTTTTTTACAAACTTGTTAAAGAAATAGACTGCATACCCCAGAACAGATTATCCATAAAAGAACAAAACAAAGTTTAGCAGGTTTCTAACAAACTTCATTTTTCTCAAAGATTCACAATTAATTCAGAACCAAGAGAGACAAGTCTCATTCCCATTCTACACCATAGGAAGGGTCTTCAGGAAAGAGAGATAAAGCCTACAGCAGCTGGAGGATTTGGAACACAGACAAAATGATGACCTATGGCAAGTACACATGGGAAACAATAACAATTCAAATCCTTGCGTTATTGTTATTGGGTAACCCTGGGTGATCAGTTTTACAACTTGACACTGCAATCTGAAGATGTTTCAACATCTTCAAATGTTTCACCATTCAAGCATGTAGAATGGGAAGAACTTCAGAACACAGATGGTTATCCCAACCTTTAAAGCCTTCGTGGAAGAAGCAAATCCCAGAAATGAAACTGAATGCTGAGCTCTAGAGGAATCAAGAAAACAGAAGAGTAAAAAGCTTTAAGAACACTTTACAAAAGGAGTTTGCTTGCAATATGTCAAATGGGACAGAGAAATCCAACAAGAGAACTGCTCCTGTGAATTTGGGTTTGAGCAAAGAACTTTTAGGAGGGAGAGTAGAGGCACCCACCCCTACCAAAACCTCATGGTCAGAGAATGGGTGTGGTGAGGGGGTGGGAATGAAGGGAGGCCATTTTTTTCTGTAAACTTACATTAATATTGGGATAGAGAAAATGAAAGAGTAATTAAAAAATCTAAGAAGACTCCCAAATGGGTCTGTGGAATGAAAGAGACGAGCAAAGGCCCCATACAGACTGAACATATTCAGACAGATAAAGATGACTTTAAAAAATTAGGTGTGCATAGCCAAAGCCTAGCATAGGGTCTGGTATGGAATTTTCATTAATTAATGTAGAGATTTTATTAATTGTGTGAGAATTTCATAAGTATAGTATAAGATATATTTTATTTTTGTGTGTCTGTATGTGGTCCATAGATGTGTTGGTACACCTAGAGGGCAGAAGGCATTGGATTCTCTAGATGTAGAGCTACAGATAGGTTTAGCTTTCTGGTGCAGATGCTAGGTTCTCTGAAAGAACAGACAGTGCCTTTAACCACTGAGCCCTCTCTCCAGCTCCCCAGCCAACGTATTCTGATCATATTCACCCACTGTCTACCATCTCTTCCCAGAGCATATCAAGGCTGCCTTTTCTACCTACCTAACTTGTACACTTGCTTTGAATTAAGCCCATCAAATACAATTTGTACTACTCATGAACTCTTGGATGTGTGGCAATCCTTCTAAGTGTGGGCAATTGTCTTAATTACTTGTCTATTGCTGTGAAGGGACACTATGACTTTATGAAAGAAAAAATTTATTGGGGCTCATTCCAGAAAGTTAGTATCCATGACCATCATGGTAGGCAGTAGACAAGCAGGCGAGCAGGTGAGCACAGTGCTGGAGCAGTAGCTGAGAGCTTATAGCTGATCCACAAGCAAGATGCACAGAGGGGAGAGGGAGAGAGAGGGGGGAAAATAATTAGAATGGTGTAGGTTTTTAAAACCTCAAAGCCCACTCAGTGACACACCTTCCCAACAAGACCACAACCCTTCCAACAAGGCCAGACCTCTTAATCCTTTCCAAACAGTTCTACCAACTGGGGACTAAGCATTCAAACATATGAGCCTATGGGGGTCATTTTCATTCAAACCACCATAGCAACCTACCAGGGGCCATCCTCTTAATGTTAACTGACCCTCCCTTTCTAGGGAGCTATAAATTGCCAATAGCTCTTTAGCTGGGGTAAAACTTCATGCCCTCTTAGCCTCCCATGCTTGGATTTTTGTCTAGCTTGAGTTTGTGCATGCTGTCACAACCACTATGAGTTCTTATGTGCCATTTGCTGCCTTTGGCTTTTGCAGTCTTCGAGCCTCTCTTCCAAAATAACCCATGAACCATAGGAGAGGAGATATGACACCAGTGTCCCACATAGGGCTAAGAACTGTACAGTCTTTTATTCTCTGCACTCTGGCCAATTGTGAGTTTCTGTATTAATTTCCAATAACCATAGACAGAAGCTTTTCTGATGAAGGCTGAAAGATACACTAATCTATGAATATAATAATAAGCCTTAAGGACTGAATTTAATACTTGCCCCCTTTAGCAAATGGTAGAAAAGTTACCCACTATGCCACATAATCCATTGAGCACAGGCTCTTGGCCCTAGTAACAGTGTCGGATATGGTTTTCATCTTGTCCAGCAGGCCTTAAATTCAATGAGAAAGTCTTTTTTACTCCAGGGACATTTGTGCTACTGCTGCACCAATAAGCGTGTCTTACGAGGCTTGTAATGATTGTTGATCTCAAGGATTACAGCTGGATAAGACTGGTGACTATTTTTCTACTCCAGTAGCTTGCATAGCAACTTCCAGCACTAAGCAAGAGACCCAGTAGGGATGGAGAATCTAAGTCAGGACCAGCTTGATTTCCCCATATTCTATGACTCTAGAACTCAAATATGTGGTGTGCCCAGCAATAGGGTTTAATGTCAACTTCTGGCCACTAGAGAATGCCAATATCAGATACTATTTGAATATCTATAAGACCTCATGGCCAACACCTCCAAAAGAAGGAACTGGTTCATAGCACTAGGCTTTGTAATAATATGTTTAAATGAATAAAAACAATATACAGAGATGGTTGTGAAAGAGGTTGACAGATGTTGTAGGTGGAAACATTCATGTGAGATTTTCAAAGCCAACTAAGCTCCCAGGACTTCTTGGTTAAGGAAGGTCCTGTTCCCCACTTCATCTCCCCACCATGTCCCACATAGTAAAGCCACATGCACTCACTGGTTCTCCCCTCAAAGCCTTAGCCTTCCTTTTGGCTTCAGTTTCATAACCCTTTCCCTGCTCTTCCCCCTCATTAATATTGAACACAATATTTTAATGGTTCATAAACGACATCAGCCATAAAACTCACAAAACATTGGCTCCTTGGTTTGAGTCCATCTGAGTTGGCCAGCTTTTTCCACTCTAAATAACTTAGCTCTGAGGTTGGCAGCCTCAAATAGGATTTCTTTACTTTTTAATGATCCTTAGAGAGCATTGGCTCAGCGCTTCCAGTTCTTATTCCTATTCTGTTACCCATCTCTTTCCATTTCATCTTTGTGATGTTGGGTTCCTCGTCAACCTCGGGTTTTTTTTTTTTACTGTTTGTTTATTAATGTCTTATGGACGATGATTCAAGCCAGCAGGAAGCAGCTGTGATTATTTAAATTTAGAAGCTCATGCCTTGAGTGATGAGGATAGATAGTGAACAAGTATGAAGTGGACAAGTGTATTGTCTTTTTTAGAGTATATTTTTATTGCTAATTGTGTGTGTGTGCTTGTATGTGCATATATATGTGCATACACATGAGTAAAGGTACATATTGAAGCCGGAGGCATCAGATTCCCCTGGAACTGGGCTTTTGTGAGCTGCCCACTGTGAGTGCTAGGAACCAAACTCCAGTCCTCTGCGTGATCAGCATATGATTTTAACTGAGTCTCATACCGTACTAATTGTGGCGGACAGTAGGCATTCAATACAAGTTTGTTGCATGAACAACTGAATGAATAACATATGCAGAAAGGAGATCTAATGTATCAAATATTCTCCCAACCATCTATATATAGTAAAATAAAGTTGAAATATATAGTAAAATACTGTTTGGAATACACAGGTTTTTGTTTTCCATTGTTTTGTTTTGTTTATGAGTAGCTGGAAAAGAAACCTAGGTCCTGGGAATGTAGGGGAAATTGAGAAAAAGTTAACATGTCTCAAATTCATAAAAATACAGAGAGAGAATAATTTATTCCATCATTAACTATAATAAGATATACAAAACCCTCATAGAAAATTAAACTGTATCAAAAATTAAACACAAAAATGAAGACCATACATTCCTCCATCTGGAGCCAAGAGACACAGAAACAAGAACATGGCATAGCATCGATCCATAGCTAAAGCAAACTAACTGGCAATAGTGTCTGGGTTGAATGTTAAAAACAAAAGACAAAAAAAACATGCAATTCATTCCTCCATTAAATTGTCTTTCAGTAAGAAGAGATATCTCCAGAGTAGTTCTCTTTCCCTGTCTGTTATATAAATGGTGTGCAGACCACGATGCTAGGCTGCCTGCATTGTCGAGGTTTCCTGTTGATGGCAGACACTCAGCCCTTGGATCACTTTAAGAAAGCCAGGGATTTTACAGAGAGTTTGATGGTAGTGAGACCAGAGTAATGCTCACAGAGGGCTGAGTGGATGCAGAACTGTGGCTGTCACATACCTCCAGACCACCATCACCATGCCACGAGAGTGAGCCACAATCACAGTGTCACAATCATCACCAGGGACGTAGGACCAGGAAGAGCCAGGGTCATCACAACCAAGGTTTGGTCAGTGAACAGGTATGGGTGGTTGAGTCGAAAGTATGAAGAGCCTTGAGGATCCCTACCCAGAAGTGAAAGAGAAGTAACAATTGCTTGAGGTGGACCAGTCAAACTAAGGGGAAAAGGGGATGTTCAGAGTGAAGAGGTACCTGCAAACTGCCTAGACCTCCAAACAAGCCCCAAGGTTGCAGTTTTGGGGAGCCTCACCCCTTTTGGCAGGGCTTTCTGATAATGCAGCTGCTTTTGAGTTACCTCAGCTCCTGTTAGTCGAGCCAACAAAAAAAAAGGAACTCATTGGTTCACCAAATTGACAGTGATGTAATCGTAACTTA